TGACCTATCCCCTCCCTAACTCCCCACCTACACTCACCTTTACTGGCTCCATCCCCGCCTCTTCGACCTGTCTGTTTCCTCTCCACCTATCTTCTCCTCTATCCATCTTCTATCCGCCTCCCCCTCTCTCCCTAATTATTTCAGAACTCCCTTCCCTTCCCCCATTTCTGATGAAGGGTCTAGGCCCGAAACATCAGCCTTTCTGCTCCTATGATGCTGCTTGGCCTGCACCTTGTTGTCTCTTCCTTAGAATTAAGCTGGTTTTACAGCATTACAAATATTATGAAATAAAATGTGCAGTTTGCTACATTTAATTGCATATTCCAAATGATTCTACCTAGCCAGATCTCACTACGTTTACAGCAGGCAAATTTCATCAGGTAACATTGTAAAGTGATATTGAACTAACTTTGTGATAAGTCATAGATTAACATGTTTAGAAATAATGCCTGTTTTACATATTTGCTACAGATCTATGAAAGAAAGGAATGTTGATATTCCTGCCAAAATGACCCATTCCCTGGTACTAAACAAACTTGGTAGCTTTCTCACTTTTTGTTTAATTATCATCCTTTTTTTCACCTTGCACCTTATTTTATTGATCTGCGTGTGGTTGTGACTGCATATTCCTGTAGGGATTGAAATTGCAAGTCCCAGCAAGCCTCAGAGACCTTGAGATTGATTGGCTCATTTGCACCTCAGTGGAATCCTCCTTACACCAGAGCATCATTTAGGTCTGTGTTCTTCCATCTACCTTGTTTGCTGTAAATAGCTGCTCATTATGTCAGGTCAAGCTAGTGCTGTGGCGTCATGGCTCAGTGATCGTGAGCAGCTTGCAGAATACTGCAGGGAAGCCTCTTGGGAAAAAGACATGTCTCAGGCTTTGTAGTTGTCAAGGTTATAAGCGACAGTTTAGCTTGAAGGTTTAAAATGCACCAGCAAAACCCTAACTTCTCTCGCAAATGACTTTACAACGAGTTGACACTTGGTTTGAAATAAGACAGATGTTGGTGCAGTTTTCTTCAAGTTTGCTCTAATTCTAGGAGGTCCAATTCACCAAACTTAATCCTCTACATCAACTGAAGACTGACAGTGTGAGACAGGCCCATTTATTTTTGTAAACACTGTGACTGAATCATTTTCACTATAGTTTGATTCCACTACTTTAACTCCTTGAGGAAAGAAGTGTATGTTTTGGCCTATAGGATATTATATCTTTGGGACACTGAATTTCAAATACTATCATGTGAATTCATCACTCCACATTTGACTTCAGCAACAGTGCAACTACAATACAATCAAACTATACTGCATGCCATGAGTTACCCAGCTGTTAAATTTCCTGAGGATCAATAGTTATCCTGATTCTATTAGAACTAGCCTGGTGCAGAGTAGTTTGCAATCCTATGTAACTCAAGTGTTGTGCCATTCTTATTTGTAAGAAGTAGCAGAGTGCATTCGTTTTGGCTGTGTGAAGTTTACAAATAACGTTCATCAATATGGATGCTTTTCCTGCACTTTCATTTTGAGCTACATTATGATTGGGATGCAATAAGCAAACTGTAAGTCCACAAATGCTCCACTATGTTTAATCATGTATTAATACGATGCTCTGTTTACTAGGTAAAAAGTAGAGAAGGTCAGAAATAAATCTTTTTGAGAGCTTCAGACGCAGAACAATTACTATTTTATTTCTAAGTGTAATGGTTCCCTGCTACTTTAACAACAAATGTAATTTAAGCTGGAAATGCATGTATATATAATAAAATAAGCCAATGACAATCACTGCTTTAATTTCCTTTAATCATTATTGTGCGCTTAGAGCCGTTAGTGTGTAATTTTATGATTACTTTTGTTTCATGTTACTACCTATTTTTAGGTCTCAGCTACTGAACTACCAGGGTAACTGAATATAATTCCAATCAATATTACCAAATATGGATGAAGTTAAAATATCTAGGTATTTCTTATTTCTAATTTAGTATTAATGTCAGTGATTCGAACATTAAATAGAGTTAGAAAGCCAGTTTACTGTTACAGGCACTAAAGGGAGAGACTAAATCTTTGTGCACAGCCAGCATTAACTTACAAGGATTAGATTGTCTGCCAAGTTGACTGTACGATTTGCTGCTATGGAAACAATTAAACTTTCACTTTCAAAGCTGGCTTCTCAGCCATGTTAAATGTAAGTAATGGTGACAAGAATTGCTGTGTATTTGATCCAAATTATGTTATTGTATCAGTTTTACAAGATTACCAATTACTGTGGTAAGATTGATTCAAGTCTATGTTCACTGGAAGTTGCACTTTGACTTATTCCTACTGCTGCACAGCTGTACTTCAAAAGCCAGAATTTTAGAAAATTGTCTCAATAAAAGCTACCATTAAGAAGTTTGTTTTTTTTTCTGTAACTCCTCTTCCCTTGTGGAACATGTTGACCTGAGGGATATGTCTCAGTAGGTAAGTAGATGTGTTTAATGTTGTTCCCATATTGATTGTTTTTCCACTTACTTATTCCCGAGGACAGCCTCAGTGATATATCTGTTTTAAGGCCACTAATATAGCCCTTTTGATGGGCCACATTGGCCATTTAAAATTAAATAGGTACTCAAAATAACTTGCTACTGTGGTAAAGAAACAGCTTTAAAATATCCACAAAGGCTTTGTAAACATGACACAAGTTGAATTGTTACGTGACCCATTAACCTGGTATGCCAAAGATTTTGATTATTATTATTAGTTCAGTTACACTTACATGGTTAATTTCACTCCACTGTCATTTGAGATTATCTGTGTTACTTACTTAAGAAATACTATTTTATTTTTCTCAGTATGCATTAAACAACATTGAAGTAAAGGTCTGTTTTTGTGCTTTTAGGACATTGACCATACCATGGAAGAGAGGAAGGGTGAATCGAGTGATAATATCTTACAAGCACGTCCCCTTAATAGCTTTCAATTACCAAACAATTTAAGAAATATGGTTATGTTATCACTGACTGTAATACATAGTTCAAAGTCCATGCATGCAAACACATTTAAAAATGCTAGTCAGGAGCAGGAATTGACCATTCAGTCCCTCAAGCCTGCTCCGTCATTCTATAAGATTATGGCTGATTTGGTTTATTCCACATTCCCTCC